GTGTCTTCCCCGGCTATCGCAGGTGCACCTCCTCACTGTGCTTCCGGGCGGCGTCTCTAACCTGCTGTCTTTCTGCCCTGGGTCCCACGTGCTCCCGCTGAATGTGCGTGTGCTTCAGCAGTCCAGGATTACGTGTGCCCTCTGCAAGGAAGCCACGCCCTGTGCACCTGCTGCTTCCAGCCCATGCCCGACCGGAGAGCGGAGCGCGAGCAGGACCCACGTGTCGCCCCTCAGCAGTGTGAGTGCCCGTGCCACGGAACGCAGGCGGGCTCCCTCTGTCCTTCGGGGCTCAGGTTTCAAAATGGTGTTGGCCTTAGGGTACCCCATGAAGTAAGGATGCCATTTCTTTTTTTCCATCTGTGTGATCAGTTGTCCCCACGTGACTATATTGAATAATCCATCTTTTCCCACCAGCTAGTTGCACTGCCCCTTCACAGGCCACACATCTCCATCCAGCAGGGGCTTGGCCTGGATCTGTGTCCATCTCCTGCCAGCACCGTGGTTGCTTTTTAATGTGTCACTGTTAAACCTCCTAGATGAATTTTGATGCTTTAATATACAACTCTAGGGCCGGGCGCGGTGGCTGAAGCCTGTAATCCCAGCACTTTGGGAGGCCGAGACAGGTGGATCACGAGGTCAGGAGATCGAGACCATCCTGGCTAACATGGTGAAACCCCGTCTCTACTAAAAAGTACAAAAAACTAGCCGGGCGAGGTGGCGGGCGCCTGTAGTCCCAGCTACTCGGGAGGCTGAGGCAGGAGAATGGCGTGAACCCGGGAGGCGGAGCTTGCAGTGAGCCGAGATCCGGCCACTGCACTCCAGCCTGGGCGACAGAGCAAGACTCTGTCTCCAAAAAAAAAAAAAAAAAAAAATACAACTCTGGCCAGGCACAGTGGCTAACGCCTGTAATCCCAGCACTTTGGGAGGCCAAGGTAGATGGATTTTCTGTGTCCAGGAGTTTCAGACCAGCCTGGACAACATGGTGAAACCCCATCTCTACAAAAATTACAAAAATTAGCCAGACATGATGGTGTACACCTGTAATCCCAGCTACTCGGGAGACTGAGGCCAGAGGATGGCTTGAGTCCGAGAGGAGGTTGCAGTGAGCTGAGATCGTGCCACTGTACTCCAGCCTTGGCAACAGAGGGAAATCCTGTCTCAAAACAAAACATATATATGCACGCACATACAGTTCTTACTGTTAAAAACGGAGCTTGTCCTTTATTTCATGTCTGTTTTAATTTATTCCTGCAGAAATGTCTGTTTATGTCCTTTGCCTTTTTTTAAAATGACTTCCTAATTTGTCAGAGCTCCTTATATGCTGCTGAGCACCACAGTTGACTCCTGCCACAGGCACCTGTGCTGCTGTGTGCACCGAGCCCTGCGTGAGCAGCGCCGTTGCAGCACCGGTTCTGTCTGGATTGGCTTAAAATGTTCTAGGCACTCAGGAAACCAAACAGGTTACTTCTGGGGGCTGTACCCTGAGACTGGGCTTGGCAGGGGTGGGGCCCAGCCTGCAGCGTTGGGACACACCCGGCGAGGTGACCTGGACGGTCCCTGCCTCGGGTCGTCCACGGCAGGCACTGGCCGCTGCTGATGCTGCTCGCGGGAGGGCAGGTGAGAAGCCGCAGAGAATAGCTCGCCCCGTGCCTAACACACATGGTGGGCAGCAGATGGCAGCTCGGGCCAGCTTTTCCCCAGGAACCCAAGCTCTCGACTCTAATTTCTTTTTTTTTTTTTTTTTTTTTTTTTGAGACGGAGTCTCGCTCTGTCACCCAGGCTGGAGTGCAGTGGCCGGATCTCAGCTCACTGCAAGCTCCGCCTCCCGGGTTCACGCCATTCTCCTGCCTCAGCCTCCCGAGTAGCTGGGACTACAGGCGCCTGCCACCTCGCCCGGCTAAGTTTTTGTATTTTTAGTAGAGACGGGGTTTCACTGTGTTACCCAGGATGGTCTCGATCTCCTGACCTCGTGATCCGCCCATCTCGGCCTCCCAAAGTGCTGGGATTACAGGCTTGAGCCACCGCGCCCGGCCCTCGACTCTAATTTCATAGAGAATGCTTCGTATACAGAGGCATTTATGAAGTGGCCGTAGGCGTTAGAAGACTTAAGGACTCAACCCTGTGAGAATTTTAGCTTGGGTTTAACTAATATTATATTTTAGGGATTTCCATTGTATAGAATATCAGACAATTAAAAATAATTTCCTGTGGGAGGCTGAGGCAGGCGGATCACGAGGTCAGGAGATCGAGACCATCCTGGCTAACATAGTGAAATCCCATCTCTACTAAAAATACAAAAAATTAGCCAGGTGTGGTGGTGGGCAACTGTAGTCCCAGCTACTCGGGAGGCTGATGCAGGAGAATGGCGTGAACCTGGGAGGCGGAGCTTGCAGTGAGCCGAGATTGTGCCATTGCACTCCAGCCTGGGCGACAGAGCGAGACTCTGTCTCAAAAAATAAATAACGTCTACAAAACCAAGGTGACGGCATGAAAAAATACCTAGGTAGAAAAAGGCCACCTAGACTGGGTGCAGGGGCTCACGCCTGTAATCCCAGCACTTTGGGAGGCCGAGGCAGGTGGATCACCTGAGGTCAGGAGTTTGAGACCAGCCTGACAAACACGGTGAGACCCCGTTTCTACTAAAAATGCAAAAATTAGCCAGTTGTGGTGGGCACCTGTAATCCTAGCTACTGGGGAGGCTGAGGCAGGAGAATCGCTTGAACCCAGGAGGCGGAGGTTGCAGTGAGCCGAGATTGCACCACTGCACTCCAGCCTAGGCCACAGAGCGAGACTGTCTCAAAATAAAATAAAATTTAAAAAGTATGTGCAGTTGCGGGCAAACATGTTGCATGTTCAGAGCTACAAGGAAACCCATCGAAGCTGTGTTAGGGGGATGGAGAAGGTGAGATTTTTTTCTTTCGTGGCTCTCACTGTTTTCCTGGGATGAGCATGTGGTGTTCAGTGTAAGAAACGATATGGGTCTGGGGCCGGGTGCTATGCCTCATGCCCGTAATACTAGCACTTTGAGAGGCTGAGGTGGGAGGATCACTTGAAGCCAAGAGTTTGAAAGCACCCTGGTCAACATAGTGAGACCCTGTCTCTACAAAAATAAAAAACAAATTAGCCGGGTATGGTGGCATGCACCTGTAGTCTTAGCTACTTGGGAGACTGAGGTGGGTGGATCCCTTGAGGCCAGGAGGCGGAGGTTGCAGTGAGCTGATTGTGCCACTGTGCTCCAGCCTGGGCAACAGAGCGAGACACCATCTCTAAAAAATAAAAAAACAGAAAACGTGAGCCTGGCCTTTTTTCAGGGCTACAACTCCCCGTCGTCACAGTCCTGGGATGTGGCCCTGCCCCGAGTTCCATGAGACTCCTCCTGAACAATGTTTCCAAAGCGAGTTGAGCTCCTGAGCCTGGTGCTGATGAATTGTGTCAGAGATAGGACTCAGCACTGGGTGTGGGTAACGAGTGTCCTCTCTCCACAGGTGCCGTCTGCCTGCAGCCTTGCGGGTAACGAGTGTCCTCTCTCCACAGGTGCCGTCTGCCTGCAGCCTTTCTGCCATCTGTACTGGGGCTGCACCCGCACCGGCTGCTTCGGCTGCCTGGCCCCGTTCTGTGGTAATACCGGCTCTTCGGGCCCCAGTTGCTTTGACCTTTGCATGTTCTCTTGGTGAACTTGAGGGCAGGGGATGGTGGGGTCCATAGCCTGATGTTTACAGGGGTGAGGCCACGGTTGGTCATGTCATCGGATGGTGACATTTTCCTGCTGATCTGCAGAGGTGTGTCAGATTCGTGTTGGCTGAAAATCAAGCCTTAATGGAAGGATTAGGGGACATACTCCCAGGACGGAATCCTTGCTGCAGGGTTCTGGTGTCACGATACCAGACTAGGTGCTGGGGTGACTCGAGAGCTGATCTTTTTAAGGAGGGAGTGGAATGGAAATCATTTCTACTTGTCCTGTGTTTAAAATTGAGTTTTATCACTGAACTTCTTATTCCTTCTAGAATCTGTAATGAAAAGAAATGTGTTTATCCTCAGTGTGGGGCAGACAGTGCTTTCCTGCGACGTCTTTATAAACAGGTAACATTGCACCTTCATCTCGGCAGAGCTCAACCTGGGTGACAAGTGTCTGGACGGCGTGCTGAACAACAACAGCTACGAGTCGGACATCCTGAAGGTACTGACCCGCCGCGGGCTGGGGAGCCGGGAGCCGCGTTTTCTCGCTAGTGCAGCCAGCTGGTTCTCTGCATTCCATTGGTGTTTATCTGTTTTTCCCGCATTCCAAAAATAGGTGTTTCCTTTTTGTGCCTCCTGCCACGGATCCATAGGAGCCGCCTCCCACAGCTCTCGGGAGGAACTTGGAAGTGCTGCCCGGGACCAGGGCGTTTTCTCTGGTCCCTTTCTCTTCCGGCCATTTGCTTTCCCGCATCTAGGAAGCTACCTCGGCTTCTGGGTTTCTGTGTGTAACGTGCGCATCTGCCCTCTTGCCGAGAGCACACACAGTGGTGGGGCCTTGACGCTTGCCACAGACACACCTGGCAGGTGCCCGCTCAGCCCCACACTCTGCTTTGATGCCCACAGAAGGAGCTCAACAGCTCGTGTGTGTTTAAAGGGCACGGAAAACAGATGCCCAGTCCTCAGCTTTTCTTGTCAAACAGACTGGGCTCGTTGTGGGGCTGTGTGCACCGTGGCCAGGCTTTCGTGTCTCATTCACACCTGGGCTGTGAGGGTCTTGGCAGAACTTTTGAGGGCCTCTGATAACTCCTACGCTGGAAGGTCAGAAGTGAGCCTTCCTTTTGGGACTTCCAGGAGGCTCCTGGACAAGACTTCTCGTGCCGCAGGCTGTGAACGTGCAGCCCTCTGCAAATGCCACTCGTAAGGGGCTGAGCTTCGGCTTTCTGCACCTTCAGGGATCTTTTATGAAATTGTTTTCTATCTCATTATTTCAGCGTTTCTTCCTCTAAACGAATATTGCTTATTCCTCTTTTTTTTTTTTTGCGTCACAGAATTACCTGGCAACCAGAGGTCTGACGTGGAAAAACATGTTGACCGAGAGCCTCGTGGCTCTCCAGCGAGGAGTGTTCCTGCTGTCTGGTGAGCTCTTCTCTTGCCTCCTGCTCTAGGGTGCGTGTGACTTTCCAGGGCTGCACCTGCCCGTCTGCTCTCCCAGTGACAACTCTGACCTTCACCCATCCTGGAAGAGAAGAAAAACGATCCTGATGCTTTCGGGTTGTTTTTTGTTTGTTTGTTTTTTGAGATGGAGTTTCGCTCTTGTTGCCCAGGCTGGAGTGCAGGGGCGTGATCTCAGCTCACTGCCACCTGCGCCTCCTGGGTTCAAGCGATTCTCCTGCCTCAGCCTCCTGAGTAGCTGGGATTACAGGCGCGCACCACCATACCCGGCTAATTTTATTTTATTTATTTATTTATTTTTTTGAGACGGAGTCTTGCTCTGTCGCTCAGGCTGGAGTGCAGTGGCCAGATCTCAGCTCACTGCAAGCTCCGCCTCCCGGGTTTAGGCCATTCTCCTACCTCAGCCTCCCGAGTAGCTGGGACTACAGGCGCCCGCCAACCCGCCCGGCTAGTTTTTTTTTTTTTTTTGCATTTTTTAGTAGAGACGGGGTTTCACTGTGTTAGCCAGGATGGTCTCGATCTCCTGACCTCGTGATCTGCCCGTCTCAGCCTCTCAAAGTGCTGGAATTACAGGCTTGAGCCACCGCGCCCGGCCCGATATCTTTGTTAATTAAGGGTATAGCACGTTTTGATTTGTGTTGCAAATGTTTCCGCTATAGTACTAGCTCACTTTTGTTGTATTTATTTTCATTTTGAGGTTTGAATTGTTGTCAAGTGTACAAATCCTTCCTCTGTGCAATTTGGTGTTCCAAGACATACTTAGAAATAGCTAATTTTCTCATTTTATTCTTAGTAATTTTTTGGGAGTTTTAATATTTAAATTTTATATCCACGTGGGGCCAGGTGCGGTGGCTCATACCTGTAATCCCAGCATTTTGGGATGCTGAGGCAGGCAGATCGCCTGAGGTCAGGAGGTCGAGACCAGCCTGGCCAACGTGGTGAAACCCCAACTCTACTGAAAAAATACAAACATTAGCTGGGCGCGGTGGCGCATGCCTGTAGTCCCAGTTACTCGGGGGGCTGAGGCAGGAGGATCAGTTGAACCCAGGAGGCGGAGGTTGCAGTGAGCCGAGACTGCACCACTGCACTCTAGCCTGGGCAACAGAGCGAGACTTGGTCTCAAAAAATAAATAAATAAATAAATAAAATGTTATATCCATGTGGGATTATTTTGCTTTAAGAAAATAAATTGGTAGGACTGGGTGCGGTGGCTCACGCCTATAATCTCAGCACTTTGGGAGGCTGAGGCGGGTGGATCACGAGGTCAGGAGATCGAGACCATCCTGGCTAACACGGTGAAACCCCGTCTCTACTAAAAATACAAAAAATTAGCCGGGCGAGGTGGTGGGCACCTGTAGTCCCAGCTACTCGGGAGGCTGAGGCAGGAGAATGGCGTGAACCCGGGAGGCGGAGCTTGCAGTAAGCCGAGATCGCGCCACTGCACTCCAGCCTGAGCAACAGAGCGAGACTCTGTCTCAAAAAAAAGAAAGGAAAAAATTGCTGTCTAGGTTGACTTTGTTCTTGTTTTCTGATGGTGTAGCCCGTTGTCTTCACCCCAATTATGGTCAGCGTGTTAGTTTCCCGCTGCTGTGGTCTGTGTGTGCTGCTGTGGGGAAGGTGGCGTTGCTGGGTAACTGGCTGTGTCTGCATGAGGCTGTGTTTGTTCCAGATTACAGGGTCACAGGGAACACCGTGCTGTGTTACTGCTGTGGCCTGCGCAGCTTCCGGGAGCTGACTTACCAGTATCGGCGGAACATTCCTGCTTCCGAGTTGCCAGGTGAGGACCCCGACCCCACACGGCTCTTGTTCTGTCTGGGTTGGCTTCTACACTCTTTTTTTGGTTTTTTTTTGAGATGGAGTTTCGCTCTGTCGCCCAGACTGGAGTGCAGTGGCACAATCGCGGCTCACCGCAACCTCTGCCTCCTGGGTTCAAGCGATTCTTCTGCCTCAGCCTCCTGAGTAGCTGGGATTCCAGGCACCTTCCCCTACGCCCGGCTAACTTTTTGTGTTTTTAGTAGAGTTGGCCAGGCTGGTCTCGACTCTTGACCTTGGCCTCCCAAAGTGCTGGGATTACAGGCATGAGCCACCCCGCTTGGCCAGCACTCTCTTCTTAGCAGACAACCTGTTTGCACTTTGCTCTGTGTTCTAAGCAGAATTTGGCCTCAGTCAGGAGCTGGCAGGACAGACAGGCCATGCCGGGCCGTGGTTGTCTTAGGCCTTGCGTCTGTTTGCAGTTATTCATGAGTGTAACGTGGGTTTCTAAAACTGAGTCGTAAAGACATCCAATAGAAAGCTGGGGTAAGGCCGGGCGCGGTGGCTCAAGCCTGTAACCCCAGCACTTTGGGAGGCCGAGGCGGGCGGATCACGAGGTCAGGAGATCGAGACCATCCTGGCTAACACGGTGAAACCCCGTCTCTACTAAAAAATACAAAAAACTAGCCGGGCGAGGTGGCGGGCGCCTGTAGTCCCAGCTACTCGGGAGGCTGAGGCAGGAGAATGGCGTGAACCCGGGAGGCGGAGGTTGCAGTGAGCTGAGATCCGGCCACAGCACCCCAGCCTGGGCGACAGAGCGAGACTCCGTCTCAAAAAAAATAAATAAATAAATAAATAAATATTTCCTTAATTGGGTTTTTATTTTTTAATTTTTATTTATTTTATTTATTTATCTTTGAGACAGAGTCTTACTCTGTCGCCCACGCTGAAGTGCAGTGGTGCAATCTTGGCTCACTGCAACCTTCCTCTCCTGGGTTCAAGTGATTCTCCTGCCTCAGCCTTCTAAGTAGCTGGGATTACAGGTGCCCACCACCACACCTGGCAAATTTTTTGTATTTTTTTAGTAGAGACAGGGTTTCACCATGTTGATCAGGCTGATTTTGAACTCCTGACCTCAGTTGATTTACCCGCCTCTCCTCCCAAAGTGCTGGGATTACGGGCATGAACCACCGCACCTGACCCTCAATTGGGTTTTTAGTTAAACATGTGTTTCCTTTCCTGAAATCTCAGAACGGTCCAAGGAGACTAGTTGTGGAGGGACCAGAGGCTGTGCGTTTCCCCCGCAACGTCTGTCTTTGGGTCTCTGCTGAAATTCAGGTAGCGGAGTGGGTGTGTGCAGTACATCTCATAGATGCGTAACCCTTCTGTTTTTCCAGTGGCCGTAACATCCCGTCCTGACTGCTACTGGGGCCGTAACTGCCGCACTCAGGTGAAAGCTCACCACGCCATGTGAGTGCAGCTGGGGGCACAGGCGTCAGCTGCAGGGTGATGAATGAGTTCACCACCTGCTTACAAATACGCTGATATGGTCATTATCCTTCTCTCAGGTTGCATCCTTTAGGAACCACATCTTCATTTAGAAATCCTGCTCTTCCTTTATCCCTTCATTTCATGCAGTCTTATTTCCATCTTCCACCTCTGTGTCTTCCTGTCTGGAGCTGGTTTATCTGTCGTCTGAGGCATCCGGGGCACACCCCATCGTTTCAGGCTTAGCCATTTCTAAGTCGGAGGCTGTAGTCTCTGAGGGCTTCAGGGCCCCCTCGCATAGCGCTGCGCAGCTGGGTTCTCGTCCGTACCGTGAGCAGGCATTTGTGATCGCTGTCACATTGTCACCCTCACGTGGTATCTTTCCCAGCGTCCTTAAAGGTTCACGGCGCCATCTGCATTGCCCTGGGAGGTGTAGGTCAGGAGGCATCTCTTAGGTTAGGTGATTGTGTAAATCACTCCTGTGGCCAAGGAGTTCAGATGAAAGTGATGGAGACAGTGCCGTCAGGACGAGGTGCTGCGAGGACTCAGATAAGGTGCCTCCCTCGCAGGGATTTTGTGGAACACAAACCTTGCTTTGTGTTTGAGCACAAACAGCACATGGAAGAGACCATGTTGTCACAAAACAAGATTTCACTGTTGACTGGCAGACGGTTTTCAGTAGAAATGTGTATCAGGAGAGCAGAGCCATGCTGGTCCTCCTTGCCACGGTCTGTGGAGAGGAAAGGTGGCCACAGGCCGTCCAGCTTGGCGTGTCTGCCTCAGCCCTGTCAGCAGATGCCACGGGGATGCCCGAGGAGGTGCACCTTTTATTCTCTTCTCTTAAAAAATTATCTAAGATGTTTACAGTTCTTTCTTTTTTTTTTTTTTTGAAATGGAGTCTCGCTCTGTCTCCCAGGCTGGAGTGCAGTGGTGCGATCTCAGCTCACTGCAACCCCACCTCCTGGGTTCAAGCGATTCTCCTGCCTCAGCCTCCTGAGTAGCTGGGACTACAGGTGCTCGCCTCCACATTAGGCTAAATTTTTTTTGTAGTTTTAGTAGAGACGGGGTTTCACCATGTTGGCCAGGCTGCTCTCGAATTCCTGACCTCAAGTGATCTACCCACCTCGGCCTCCCAAAGTGCTAGATTACAGACATGAACCACTGTGCGTGGCCAGATGTTTCACTTCTGTTTCAAAATTTCAAAAGGGAAAAAGAAGTTTACCTTTGGGGGTTGGTTGCTTTGATTTTGTAGAAAGCACACACTCTTTCTCAGGTAGCTCTTTGGTGTATGGTTTCAGAATGGGTTTATTTGAATGCCTCTCCAGTGCTCTCGTGTAATTTATTTGAATGCTTCTCTGATGCTCTTTTGTGTAATTTGGCCATTTTCTCCCGGCAGGAAATTCAATCATATCTGTGAACAGACAAGGTTCAAAAACTAAGCATCCAGAGGCCCCGAGCGGCTTTCAGCACTGAAGGGGAAGAGAGCGCGGTTTTAAAATACAGAGACAAACATGTCAGGGCGTTTTCACGGCCCCCTGAGGGACGCAGGGTCTCCGGCAGGTGCTCTGGGGTGACTCTTCTGTGGAGCTTTACCCTCTGAGTGAGACCCTCCCCGGAGCCCGGGGGCCACAGCCCGCCCTCCTGGCGAGTGCTGGGTGGGGCTCCTGGTGGCGTGAGCAGCAGAGGCGAAGCCTTTCCGTGACACTCAGCCGTCCCGCCCAGAGGGCAGTTTTGCTCTTTTGTATGTTTTCCGCAACCACAGGTAAAGCAGAAGTCTGTTCAGGAAGAGTTTCAAGGGAGAAAGGGGACAGTTTATCAAAAACATTGTTTCAGGAGAAGGGAGCATAAGTTTACAGCCTACAGGATGTACACAATATTCTGCTGTTGGGAAAACCACAGCATTTTATATATTTTTTATTTTAATAGGTTTGGTGCTTATCTTCTAATAAGATTTAAATATCACAAACTGTAGCACAAATAATATAATTTATAATTTACAAATTGACTAAAATTGGGTATAGTATGGTATTTGAAAGAATAAGCATATGCTTCTGTTTATTGAAAAAAAACTTCCAGTGTCCAAAACTGCTAACCCTCGACATGGCTGTCAAGTTAGTCGCTCCTTGCTAACCTGTGGGTGACCACGGCCCCTAGCCCGGAGCTGGACGCAGGGCCCAGGACTCGCCACTCCCTTCACGGCCCCGAGCCCGGAGCTGGACGCAGGGCCCAGGACGCGCGGCTCCCTCATGCTGCCCGGGCCCTTCCTCCAAGACCCTACAGAGCCTGAGGGGCACCTTGGCTTCCGCCTGTGCTAGGTTTGCCATGTCAGCTGGAATAATACTTGAAATTTTGATTTTTGGGAAAAAAAGTTTTTTATCTTTTGTTGAAATCACCTGTTATCCTTGTTTGCAAACTGGTAACTTTTTTGCTTCTCAGGAATACAGTTTTCAACTGTTGACTTGCTCTTGATAGGAACTGAGAAGCAGCACTGTCTCTGCGTTTGTGGAGGAAAGCCCTCTCTTTTGCATATTCTAATAAATGAGCCGCCTTCGCTCCTCCCCTCTCGTGTTGGGCTCGTGTGTGGGGCTGCCTCACTTCTCCACGCGAGGGAGGCAGGCCCTGTGCAGAGTGAGCGCCGAGCACCTCACTGCTAGTGATGGTTACTCTGTCGCCTGCTGTCCCTCAGTGTCTCCATGGAGTCACGCCTGACCTGAGGTTGGGGCCTGAAGTCCGAGCATCCTGTGAAACCTGCTCAGGTCTCTTCATTTGGCCAGTGCTGGGAAACCACAACCTGTTCATCCAGTGTGGAGGCTTTGTCTTCAGCTGAGCACCAGATGAAGCCGCCATGCAGAGACCCCGAGTTTGTGCAGGGGCGGGGCCAAGAGGGGAGGTCTTGAGTTTGTGCAGGGGCAGGGCTGAGAGGGGAGGTCCCGAGTTAGTGCAGGGGTGGGGCCAAGAGGGGAGGTCCTGAGTTTGTGCAGGGGTGGGGCCGAGAGGGGAGGGCCCAAGTTTATGCAGGGGCGAGGCTGAGAGGGGCGGTACCTAGTTAGTGCAGGGGTGAGGCCGAGCGGGGGGGAGGTTGCGAGTTTGTGCAGGGCTGAGGCTCAGAGGGGAGGTCGGCATTCACCCATGGCTGCCCTGTGTCTGTGTCTTAGATCAGATGATATTCACTCTACCCCTTCCCATCTCCAAAAAGTAGAAACAAGAACACTCGCCCTGTGGAGGACGCAGAGCTTTGCTCAGGAAGGGCAGGGCAGCTCAGAGAGCCTCAGGGCTCCAGGTGTCCTAGGGACTCACTCCTGCTTCCTCAGTCCTTCAGAGAAGTCCATTTCCTGGCCCACTGCGAAGGGCGTTTCTGCCTGGAGCAGTCGGAACAGAGCTTGGGTTTGGCTCTGATGTGAGGGAGGAGGCCTTGGGACCGGGGCAGTTACCCCCCCCCCGGTGTGGTAAGGAGCCGTGTTTTATGGAGGCAGGTGGCCGTGAACTCATCCCGTGTTTTCGTGAGCTTCTGTACTTCCTTGTCCTCAAGACCCAGCCATCCCACCCAGCAAGACTGACGCACTGTGGTGGTTTTGGAGCCCTGCTGTCCTCGTGGGGTGGCTGCTTGGGTCATCCACAGGCTTTCTGGAGGACAGCCTGGCAGCCGCTGCAGATCCCACTGCTTCTGCCTGGCTCCTGGGCCCAGCCTTGGAACAAACCCAGGGCAGGGCTGCAGCTGCCCGCTGGCCCCACGGACCGTCTCCCCACGTGCTCCTCACCTGCGGCTCCCTCTGTGCTCCCTGGTGCCCACCCCTCCGTGTGCTGCCCAGGCTCCAAGCCAGGGAAGGGGGCCTCAGGTTCTAGGTGAGCCCATCCACCCCAGTGAGACCTCCCTGAGATGGCCTTTGTGAGGGCTCTCGACTGCAGCCAGGAAGTCCGGGCAGATTGGCTTAAAACAGACTGGGGGATTCAGGCCAACCCTCCTCCCTAGGCCAGCTACAAAGGCTGTTTTAAATCTGCTTTAAGTCATCTTAATGATCTCAGGGCCAGCAGGATGGGAGAGATCGGGCCCAGGTGTGAGAGAGCCAGGGGCCCAGGGGCCGCTCCCAGCACAGCGCGGCCTTCACCCCAGGTATGTGGCCAAAGCAGAGAGGCAGCTGAGTTTGGAAGGGGCTTCTGCCAGCCAGGGGTTCCTGGTGACAGCCCCCCCAGCTTCAGGTTGGCAGCCTGGAGAGAGCGGAGCAATGCTGGCCCTGAGGCAGCTGCAGCCGCCTCCCTGAAGAGGTGCCAGTGTCACTGCCAGGGCCACTAGGTCGCCGGGAGCCCTGCACCGGGAAGGGAAGGAAAGCATGAGAACGAGGGGATTTAGGAAGCTGGGAGTACATCTTCCCTCCCGCCTGGCTTGATGGGAAACCAGAAGGCTGTCCCCGGGGCCGTCCCTGCCCTCTGCCTCCACGTGGGCTCTGCTTTGGCATGGCGTGCACGCCAGCTCCTGCGCCCTCGGACGCAGCTGTGTGGAGAGGCCGGGTCTTGCCTCCCTGAGGACGGACGGCCACGTGCAGAGTGCAGCCTATCCCTGCAGACCTGCGCGCTGACCAGACCGGCAGCAGGACGGAGCCAGGTGATCTTCGGGGGAGCCACCTCCAGGAATGCCTAGTGCTGGTAACTGGTAGACGCCCTTATTCAAGCATCCTCTACACTTAGAATTAAGTTACACTGAAAACAAAGGCAATGAGTGCTCAGGATGCACCACTTTCTGGTTAGTTCACCGCACCTGCCTGTTACTGCCGCCCGAGGGGTGTGCTTCTGGGGCCGGTGTGGAAGGGCGTCCCTTCCAGCCTTACCCACTTGGCCTGGTGGGAATGGGCCCTGGGAGGAGTGTTTGCACTGTGGAAATTGGTAAATGCTTCAAATCAGGGTGGTTTTTAATTGCTTTTGTTTTCTTCTGGAGAGAAGGTTGTTAAACACCAGCACAGTGCTGCACCAGGCAGCCAGCATATAATCCTGAGAAACAAGTAGTTGTTTAAACCACAGCATTTGGAGTGGTTTGTTACATAGTAATGAATAACCATCTCATGGTCCTTGAAGGCCCAGCACATACAACCCCTGCCTCCACCCCTCAGAAAAACCTCTTCTCCCTACCTGCTCCTCCTGGAGCCCCTGGGGTGTTCCTCTGCTTCTCCATCCAGCCAGCTCCTTCCCACAACCAGCCCCAGGTGCCGGCCCCTCCCCCTCCCGCAGCCTCTCCTCATTCAGGTTCCAGCTCAGCCCGACTCCTGCAGAGCTGCCCCCACCCCCAACCCCGCCAGCCATTCTAGTTTCCCCCCAGCACCTGTCACTGTCAGAAAGGAAACATCTGTTTACCATTTGTCTCCCCCCTCTGAAAAATAGAGCAGGGATCTTGCCTGTCGCCCGCTGTTGTTTGTTTGTCTGAAATGTTTGGCCCCAGGGCGGCATCTCCTGATCCCTGGGTGACCAGTTGGCTGCCAAACGGTGAAGGTCCTGACGAGCTGTCCCCTGGGCTTGAAATCTTTCCCGCGGCACAAACAGTCGCTCCTTCCTCTGTCACTCATGTTTTGTGGTTGTCTCCTGAGGCGGTGAGTCTAGATGGTGGGGTCTTTTATCTGTGTTCCTCACACAGAGCAGACACTTGGTTGTGCATGTGTGTGGAAGGGATGGACGCAGGAGAGAATGTTGAAGGCCATTAGACCAGGAGTGAGGGTTGTGCTCTGTGCTGGGAGCCTGGCATTGTGAGTGCTGTGTGCTGTGCTGGGAGCCTGGCATTGTGAGGGCCGTGTGCTGTGCTGGGAGCCTGCATTTGTGAGCCATGCCTCGCCCAGTAGTGGCCTTGAATGTGGGTCCACTCCGGCTGCTGGATCAAAACGCCGCAGAACAGGCGGCTTAAACAACAGAAAGTATTTTCTCACAGTTCTGGGGCCTGGAACTCTGAGATCAGGGTGTCAGAGGGGCCGGTTCCTCTTTGGTCTGTCTCCTTGGCTTGTGGACAGTATCTTCTCCTTGAGTCCTCACGTCGTCTTCTCTTCATGCGTGTCTGTGCCCTAATCTCTTCCTGCGAGGACACCAGTCCTATTGGATTAGGGCCCGCCCCAGTGGCCTCATTTTATCTTAATCATCTCTTTAAAGACCACACATACTAAAACTGGATACAGAGAAGATTCGCGTGGCCCGTGTGCAGGCATGACACGCAAATTCATGACGTGTTCCATGTCTGCAGATACAGTCGCCTCTGAGGTCCTGGGATTTAGGACTTGAACATACTGTAACACTCTGCCATGAAACCTCGCACGCCACGGGGTTGTGTAAAAATTGGGTGGTTTTGTTTGTTATTTGGCAAACCCCACATGCTGGATACTGTTGACACCCCGTGGTGGGCCGAGCTATGTCCACCTGTCCCGCC